CTTGGAGAAGATCTTCTTGGGTTGATTCTATTTGTGGCCCTTTGTATTTCTTGGGACTGGATCTTTGAGTGACTCTCTAGGTTTGAAAAGTTTTCTTGCAGGATTGTATGGAATAGATTATCAATGCCCTTATGGGTCTCTTCGCCTTCTGGAATGCCAATTATCTGGATGTTTGGACGTTTGATGGTATCTAGTACTTCTCGTATATTACTCTCAATTTTTTTGGCATTTTTCTCAGTCTTCATGGTGGATTTTTCTAGGCCAGCAATTTTCTCTTCTACATCTGAGATTCTATTTTCTGTATGATCTAGTCTGCTTTTAATACTTCCAAGGGAGATTTTGACTCCCTATATTATAGCCTTCATCTCTAACAGTTCCGTTTGATTCTTTTTTTAAAGTATGTAATTCGTCTTTTAGATCTTGTAAGAATTTCCTCACCTCCTGAAACTCATCAACTTCTTTCTCCTTTCTCTTCTGCAGTTCATTGTCTCTCTTCTCTTCCATCTCTGTTAGCTTTGCCATTATGAATGTTCTAAATTCTTTATCAGAAATTTCCATGATTTCCATTGAACTGCTTGTGGATGAAGAGGAGTTATTCCTTTCCCTTGGAGGAGAGGTATTTTCTTGCTTCCGAATATTTCTTGTGGTCCTGTGGTGAATTCTAGTCATCACGCTAGCTTGTTTGCTGGAGGCTGAATTATCAGTAGGAACTCTTCATTTCTCTTTTACCCTGAAATGACTACTTCGCTGGAGCCATGAGAAATCAGAATTTTTTTACTTTTAGGGTGCGTGCACTCACTGGAGAGACAGAGACAGAAGGCAAGAAATCACCCCCAGGGGGGATGGCTATGCCACAATCCCTTCCCCTCCATTCTCCAGTTGGGATTTTGGGCACACACCACATGTGTCCAGTGTGAGTTTTAAGTCACCAGGCCTGGAACTCAAACCATGGTCAACCATGTGGGAGTCCAGAGACATAATCATTATATTATCTCCTGATCCCAGTACACTGTATTATCTTAACGGTTTGTTAAATCTATAGAACATTTTCAAGTGTTCTAATTCCAGGGTTCTTTTTTTTTAAATTATGTTATTTCTAAATTCTTGTTAGAAAGGCATTAATTATGGCCAAACCTGATTTCTTGTCCAGTAATGATACAGCTTGATATTCTGAATGATTTCTTCCATCAGTGACATAGGACAATGGAATATGCCACAGGTAGCTGTAACAAGAACATATTGGCGGCTTATTATTCTTTCCAGTATTTCAGTTAGTTACACATGCTTTGTTGTCCTTTTTCTTTTTCTGCAGAGAGCTGAATTTTTTTCAGACTATTCCCAGAAAAAGAATCTTGTTAGGTTTCATAAAAACTTATAATAAAACATTTAAAGATATTTCAACCTGAGGGTGGCAAAAAGACAGCACAGAAAGAGGAAATGCACCTTGCATCTGAAGGTTGGATTTCAGCCTTCATATTTAGAAAGAATCTTTCTTGTTGTATTAAAAGTTCTTTTCCTTTCCTTTGAACAGTCACTAATGGAAATCCTTTCTGTAGGGTCCAGGTTTTCATCATTTTCTTTACATCTACTGTTTTGTTTGTGGCCTAAAAAAAAAAAAAGAATAAATTACTTTTGCTGAAAGAGAAAAATTAGCTTCAAAAAGTTTGTCCTACCCTTCCCACCATTCCTAATATATTCTGTTAAGGTGACATTTAATGTTAATATAGAAAGGAAGCATGAATGCAGTGCTGAGATTACTTTCCTAATCTAAGTAAAAGAAGAACTGTCATAGAGAAGGTAACCGGGAACGGAACTAAGTGCTAACTAAGGGACTGAGAGAGGCATGGCATGAAAAAGCACATACATTACCAACCTGCTCGGAGTTCATTAAGATCAAATCCCTAAGAAGGTATAAACACTTTCAGGTCATAGCACTACCATTTAGGAGACACGTTAGAACCAGGAGTGCAGCTGCCTGCTTCTGTGAATTATCAATAGCTGAGCCAGGGTTTCCCTTTATTTGCCTACCTTCCCGGCCTTCATAGCTGTTAGTCTGTGAAAGACCTAATACTGGGGAGAGCAGGGAGTCTCCCCAGCAGAGGAGGGAAATACCAACAGGTCAGCTGCCTTGACTTGCCTCTAGAGAACAGTGGTAAACTCTTTGGATGGTCACAGACCTTTTTCCCCAGGAAATATATGAACTTATCTACAAAATCTAGTGTCAGAGGTTAATAGATCCTCTAATGTGCACTGACCCTGAGACATCTGGCATCAATGATTAAAAAGCAATTTTGAACAATTGTCTTTTCAAAGTAGGTGGGTTAAACTTATGATTCAAATTATTTTTTAAGATTACACGTGGGTTTGAGTTGCAAGCAACTAAGTTGTCATGTACCTAAACGGTTTGGTAATATCACTCTACTATGGCAGGCTTACTTCAATTACCTTATACCTACTTATTCAAAGCACGGAAAGATGGAGCAAATCTTCCCACATTCATGGTAATGTATATTTTTAAGTTTATTCATTTTTCCATGAGAAAGAGATTGAAAGAAAAAAAGACTTTACATGGTCTTGACATTGCAACCCACCCTGAGCCTCAGCCAGCCCTGGCTCATGGGCATGTTTCCACCCAGTGTACTCAGGACAGTCTCCAGAAGCAAACCCAGGACCTTTCTATGTGGCTCAGCCTAGCAGTACGTTGTGTTCCACCACTGTGCCACTGTCTGGTCCCTCATTGTGCTTTTAATCTTGTATTTCTCATGGCTCCATCCTATTTACTTCTGGGTTAGAAGCTGAGAAGAAAACAAGTTTGCCTCCAAAACAAGGTACTTATGGGTGTTTTTTTTTTTTTTTTTTTTTTTTTTTTAAGATTTTACATGTCGTGTGTTTAATGGAAAATAGTTAAAAGGTTATTTAAACAATATAGTCAATAAAATTTTATCTTTCATATCATATAATTTTCTTTGCTATCTGTCCATATTCTTATGATGCTCTCAAAAGTAAATCTTAAGTTCAGTTTCACTCATCAGAGAGAAGGAAAAGTATATCTTCTGGGCAAAAGGTTAACAGCTAGGAAATACCAGACTTCAGATAGAGCAAGGAAGTAGAAAGAGAATATGAAAAATGTCCAGAGCAAGGGTTCTTAACTCACTTTCATAAAACTCTGAAACCGTGTGATGTTTTGCATGTACGTGGTTTTCTGGCGAATATGGTCAGAACTTTCATCAATTTAAAAAATATGTCTCTGATCTTCCAGAGTTTTCCAAAGCAAAAAACCATCAAGCTAGATTGTAGAAACTCTGCTCGTAAGGATTCTCAGTCAGCATCAGTGTACGAGGCAGGCTGAGTGCGTGCCCAGCCTTGAAGCATACCTTCTGCCTAACTAAAAGCTTGTTGGAACACGTGCAGTCACACAACCTGGCAGTAGTGGGCACCCTGGATGCTGCTGCTCAGCAGGCTGTGACCAAGGGAAGCCCAGGTTTAATTTCTGGCCAGCCTTAAAAGAGCTGGGTGCAGCGGCATGCTCCTCAATTCTAGCTATTTGGGAGGCTGAGGCAAGAGGACTGTGAGCTTGCAGCCAGTGTGAGTAACATAGCAAGACCCTGCATGAAAGCGAGTGTGGGAGCACATGCCTGCGGTCCTGGAAACTCAGGAGGCTGAGGCAGGATCACGACACCAAGAGTTCCTGTCTAAAACCTAAAACACCACACATACATGGAAAACATCTGCAGGCGTAACAAAATCCCAACGGTAAAACATCCCAAGACAGTGGCGCAGGACCCGCCGCTGGTCGCAGCCTAGGCGCAGGCCCGGAGAGGCCGCGCAGGAACTGGGGGACCCACGCCACTTATGGGTGTTTGAAGCAGTACTGAAATAAAGGGCCAGGTGCACAATGTGGGGTGGACACTGAACACACTTGAGGATAATGTTAGTGATTAGGCTGGGGCTGGAAACACCATGAAGCAAAAGCTACTGTCAGTGAGGAAGGCAGAAATATGTTCTAAATGTCAAGAGAAAAGACGATGAGTATAAAGTTAATAACACGGCTTTCAGCTGAGATGCTATTATATGGTCAGAGGAATGACAATGATTGAGAAACAAGTGTTAGGTAATAGCAACTGTCTCCTCAAACAGAATTCAGAGAGAAGGAAAAGTATATCTTCTGGGCAAAAGGTTAACAGCTAGGAAATACCAGACTTCAGATAGAGCAAGGAAGTAGAAAGAGAATATGAAAAATGTCCAGAGCAAGGGTTCTTAACTCACTTTCATAAAACTCTGAAACCGTGTGATGTTTTGCATGTACGTGGTTTTCTGGCGAATATGGTCAGAACTTTCATCAATTTAAAAAATATGTCTCTGATCTTCCAGAGTTTTCCAAAGCAAAAAACCATCAAGCTAGATTGTAGAAACTCTGCTCGTAAGGATTCTCAGTCAGCATCAGTGTACGAGGCAGGCTGAGTGCGTGCCCAGCCTTGAAGCATACCTTCTGCCTAACTAAAAGCTTGTTGGAACACGTGCAGTCACACAACCTGGCAGTAGTGGGCACCCTGGATGCTGCTGCTCAGCAGGCTGTGACCAAGGGAAGCCCAGGTTTAATTTCTGGCCAGCCTTAAAAGAGCTGGGTGCAGCGGCATGCTCCTCAATTCTAGCTATTTGGGAGGCTGAGGCAAGAGGACTGTGAGCTTGCAGCCAGTGTGAGTAACATAGCAAGACCCTGCATGAAAGCGAGTGTGGGAGCACATGCCTGCGGTCCTGGAAACTCAGGAGGCTGAGGCAGGATCACGACACCAAGAGTTCCTGTCTAAAACCTAAAACACCACACATACATGGAAAACATCTGCAGGCGTAACAAAATCCCAACGGTAAAACATCCCAAGACAGTGGTGCAGCTCACGGCAGGCAGCTGGTGACACAGCATCTATTCTAGAGGACCATGGTGACTAAAGGCAACAGATTCATAGAGCAGGGTATAGGGTCGTGAATGGGAGGTCAAAAAACTAGGAAAGAACAGGAAGGTGTTCTGGGGAAAAAATTTTAAAGAATGAAAACAGTAAAATACCAAGTAACAATGGCTATCTAAAGCCACGTACATTTTTCCTCCAACAATGAACAGCATTCTCATTTGTTCATTTTACATTCAGTGCTCTATTCATAAATATTTATATACTGAGGTCCGTCCCCCTCTCTCTGAAATAACTATCCTTTGTATCCCAGCCTTATTTACATACATAATAAAAACATAAATAGAAGAACACTCCTTACTGTAAGAGCTATGTAAATTATCTAGGTCACTTACCTCATTAAAACTATCCCACAGATCATCACTTTGAATGGATGTATAGCTATGATTATGCAGGTAAAGAAGAACAGCATGTTGAAATATTTCTTCACTAAGATAAGTTTTCAACATCAACAAGAGAGAAGCTCCCTATTTAAAAAAAACAAAAACAAGAAACAAACAACAAAGTAAGGAAAAAAGAAAATAATAGAATACTATAGGTTACAGAATTGAGAATCTAAAATAAAAATGTAATCATTCTAAATATCAGGTTGTCAGGAAAGTCATGATGCATTTTTTGCATGGAAAACCATACAAAAATATGTCATGACTTTCCCAATGACCCACTATATTGTCCTATATAGAATCTATTTATAATATATTGTTGACCTCATGTAACTAGATATGGATTTTGCACAAACTGTTTTAAAATTAATAGATTTGAATAAAATTAATTAAGTAGATCCCTAATACCCAGTATACAAACTCTATCCAGAGACATTCTGTGTGGTCTATCAATTAGTGTTAATATTGGAAAGGTAGGTGTTGATAAATTTTTTTTAAAGGTTTTTGCCACAGGGCATGTGTGCTCACTGGAGAGACAAGCAGAAAGAGGGAAAGTGAGAAGTCATCCTGCCAGGGGAGATGGTCATGCCACAATCCCTTCTCCTCTAGTCTCTTGGGATTTTAGGCATGCACATATACATGCCTGGTGTGATTTTTTTCATGTCTCTGGGTCCAGGAGTAGAACCATGGTTGGCTAAACGGAAGTCCAGTACCTTAACCACTATGCCACCTGCTGGCCCCATAAATGTATTTTTTTTAACAAAAAAAAGAGTATTTTTTCTTTCTTTCTTTCTTTTTGTCTTTTTGTTTGTTTGTTTTGTGGCATCTCTACTCCATCCTTAATGGTTAGAGTACTAGTTAAACTCGGGCACACACATTCCTAGCAACATGGAAGTTAGCAAAGCTCTCAAAGGCCACTCTGCTGTCTAATATAATGATTTCTAATTTTAGTGTATCATGTTACTAAAGTAACTAGGATCCCTCTTTTCCTGCACAGTCACATGAAGTATGTTTGGGACTAACAAATATATAAGGCTATAAACATACATTCACAATTAATAATCAGGCATGCAATTATCAAGGCCACACTGTATTCACTATGCATATGTCACTATAACCAATCTAGAAACAAGTAACCCCACCCCCCTCGTGAAAAGCCTTCCCTTATTTAAAATAGAATTTTTTTTTGGGGGAGAGGTTTTTGCTATAGAGCACATGCGCTCTTGGGGGGAGTGGGGGATGGCCACGCCACAATCCCTTTTCCTCCATTCTCCTCTTGGGATCTTGGGCATGCAGGCACACGCACCCAGCGTGAGTTTAAGCCATCGGGTCTGGGACTTGAACCGTGGTCGACTACACTGGAGTCCAGCAACATAGCCATTACGCCGACTGCTAGTCCCTTAAAATAGAAATCTTTAATGGCAGTTTATATTTCTTCTTGCATGTTGTATTTTATACACACACACACATATATATACACAGATATACATATATACATATACATATATTTATACATATATACACATACATAAAATATATACACACACATACTTCCTCTTCTACACTGTACACTAGTTGAGGGAAAAATTAAAAAGCTCAACTCCAGTGACTAAAACAATGCCATTTAATAGTAGGTCCTTAAATAGTTTTAAATAGTTTTTGTTGTTTTTCAATTTTTTTCTTTTTTTTGGACAGGGTCTTGCTATGTCATGATCTTCCCGCCTTAGCTTCCTGAGTAGCTGTGATTACAGAAATGTGCCACCATGCTTGGCTTTTCAGGGACTCAAACCCAGGCCTCCTGTGTGGCCTCAGCCTCCAGAATCACAGCATTTACCAGTAGGTACCACTGTAGTTCAGTATCAAGTAGTTTTTGAATGAATTTCACTTCTGATAAAAACATAGCAATATTAAGTTGCCAAGATTCTCAGTACATGTAATTCAATTTAATATCCATTCTCTTATATCCATTCCACACCTCATAGCTACTACTTGTTCTACAAATTATTCATTCTTGTTCCCAACAGTCTCTCTTCTCTCCTATATCACCAACTTTTCCTAACACTCTCATTATAAAAACAAAAACTTATCTAACACTACTAATTTTAAACAAATAAGATTCCCTACCTTTCCTTAGCTACATACCTCCTCCAGTTATGACCCTATCTTCTGTTCCTCCCTTTAGTAAACGTCCTCAAAGAGCTGTCTGCCAATGCCATCTTCAACCACTTTCTCCAGTTTCTCTTGACCCATCATCTAATCATCAAACCACTAGAAGTGTTCTTTTTTTTAAAGATTTTTTTGCTATAAGGCATGTGTGATGATCAGAGACACAAAGAAACACAGAAAGTGAGAAACCATCCTGCGAGGATGGCCAAGCTGCAATCCCTTCTTCTCCGTTCTCTTCTTGATATTTTGAGTGGGCAGGCACACATGCACGCATTCACGTCTGGCATGAGTTTCAAGCCGCCATGTTCAGGACTCAAACCATGGTTGGCCACACAACCACTACACCATCTGCTGGCCCCTGGAAGTGTTCTTATCAAGGTCTGTGGTGAACTTCCTGATGCCAAACCAATGAGTTCCCAGGCTGGTGGCATCTGGTATTACTGATCACCTACTCCTTGAAAGCCCTTATGTACTTGGGCTCTAAACTCCACTCCGGATTCCCTCTGTATACATTGGCCATCCTTCTCAGTCTCTGTTGCTGGGTCCTCCTTATCTTTCCTATGACTGAATTTTGGCATTTGATAATTGGGCCTCTTTTCTTCTTTACCTACAATAAATTTTACTTGCTACTTTGTCTTCTTTATTTCAAGGGTTTTAAATGACTCCCTGATTTATACATGTAACCAGACTTCCCTTCTGAATTCCAACTTCATATGCAACTGTGTGCTTGGTATCTCCACTCGGATATCTAATGTACCTCTCATATTCACTCAGAAATGGAACATTTTTCTTCTCCTTGCCTCAAATCTAGCCCTCCAGTAGTTGTCTCTATTCCAGCAAAATGGCAATTGTACTTTTCTAGCTATTCAGGCAAAAATCTTGAAGTTACCCTTGCCTTTCACTTACATTCCACATGCAATCCACCAACAAATTCTAATGGATCAACTTGTGTAATAAATTTCTAAGTCCAACCATATTCCATCACTTTCACTACTATCACCCCAGACCAGGCCACCCTTACCTGACCTCCCATTGATTACAACTTCCTATCGAGGCAGCTGGCTCCATGTGCTACAGTGATCCTTTACAACATAAACCATACTGTGGCACTCTGAGAAAACAGCTTTTCATTTCTCTTAGAATGAAATCACAGTCCTTACCATAACCTCTTAGAATCCCTGATTTCTTCTGCTACTTTCCCCTCTGCACGCTCTACTCCAAATACACTGGCTCCTTGTGGTGCTTGGACGTGCAAAGCAAACTCTCATCTGTAGCTGTGTGGAGGTCCTTAGATGCAGTACCAGGTTTGGAGCTGCACCAGGAAGAACAGGACTTTGCACACAGTTATAGTGACCACTATGATGTGTTACGGTGAGAGGATACCAAGTAAAATCAGCAAAAGGATAAGGCACATGGGACGCAATACAGAGGAAACCAGGCACATGCTTCTAAGAGGCCTCTCTTAGTGGAGTCACACGGGACACACTGAGTTCTTCAAACAGACTGTGACAAGGTGCATAACAGCAAGAATGTTCACTAGAGACTCAGCAGCCAGGATTTACTGTGGGCTGGTGAGCAGGTATCCTCTGCCTAGTGCATACCTGAGTTCCAGACTCAGAAGAAAAGCAGACGCTCAGCATTAATTAGAATCAGTACTGTTGAGGCTTAGTCAGCCATTGTGAACAGGGAATTATGGGAACTCTCTCTAAACCTGAGTTTCAGCTGCCAGCCAAGGGTCAACCTTGCAAGCAGGTCTTTCAAATATAGCAGTCTGGGGCCTGCTGCAGTATTTCTTTGGTGCACATGAGCTCTATACATTGGTTATTTCCTATGCCTGGAACACTGTTGCCCCTGAAAACCACATACCTCACTCTCTCCCATTCTTACAGTGTTGTTCAAGAAAGCATTTTCTTGTCACTCTCATTTCCTTTACCATGCCTTCTGTTCATATTAGCACATAACACTTACCACAATGCCTATTTAATCATCTATTTCTCCAGTATCTATCTCAAACTTTGATCCCTGAAATGGAAACCCCAGAAAAGAGACACAGTTCCCCTGTTTCCTGATAAATCTGCAGCACCTACAGCAAAAGCTGGCAAGTGGTTGATACTTGCAAAAAAATGTTCAACAGACTTGATGATTATAAAAACCAAACAGAATATGCGTGTCAAATACATTTCCCTAACAGCGCTCATTTCTGCCACACGATATTGACAAATTATCCAGTGTCCCGTTTTTCTCAAGTATGTGAGATGTATTCCAGACTCTCAATTCTGAAATAAGTAGCTACCAGTTTGACAAGGGCTCAGTATGCTGCAGAAGCCACATGATCAGAAGGTACTGAATTCTGGTTTTAGAGGACAGAGTTGGTAGCAGGTGGGGCTGACACAACAAACTCTGAAATAATTGTGCTGTGTAAGTTCTCTGTAAGAACAGAACCACATGTTTTAAAATGTTCTTTACTGACAGGCCCAGCTGGGCTTTAAAAATCATAGCACTAGCCCTAACTGGAATATATCTGATAGAGCTCACTGAACTCCTGATCTCCTTGCCTGTAGACAGTAGCCGAATTCCCTCCGACAGCCAGGCTAGACCCCGGGAACACTTCTGCCTCTTCCTTTACCTGCTGTGCCTTGTCCCCAAGCCACTAACTACCTCCCTCTGCCGAGTGTTTCTATGTCCATTATTTCCTTTCTACCTTACGAATATACTTCTCAGTTCAGACTTGTACCATTTCATGCCGAGATTTCAGCAGACATTTTCTTCTTTTTTTAATTAGGTAAATAATTTAATGATGATAGAACACTCAAATTTCTTTAAACAGTATTTCAGTTTTTATCTGGAGTACAGATCTGAAATGGTACAAATTGTACTCACATACTGAACTGCTAATTAAGTAAACAGAATGACAAAAATATTCTCCTGACAGGTTTCCATTTCCTACTACCTCTTGCCAGACTTTTAAAAATTGTATTATTATTATGTATACATTGAATCGCTATGTATCATTTAGATTGTAAAGAGACTTTACCCAGCATGATACACATCTCAGTCCAGTTGAGAATACTATACACGTTCTCATCAACAGATAATAAACCATATCTGTGTCCCACAAATACAGACTTTTTTAAAGTTTATTTACTTGTTTATTGAGATGGACACACAGACACAAGAACTGACAGGGTCTTGCTACACCATGGTCCTCTATCCCAGGCCCTCCGGACAGCCAGGATCATGGGCATGTCCTGTTCTGGACTCTGGGCCTTCCCAGGCAGCTCCAGCATCATGTGTCCTATCACCTGTGCCACTGCAGCTGAACCCCTCACACTATTTCTATTTAAGATGTCTAAATTGTTAATGGACAAGCAGCAAGATCTACTGACAAAAAAGTAGATCTGCTTTGACTTGCTATTGGGTGCGGCTCAGGGGGACTATGGACACGAAGCAGTTAAGTTCCTGCGAGAAGCCAGTTCCATTTTCTATTCTGCTTCAATAAAGATCTGCTCAGATGAAGCACCACTTAGTAGCTACTGACCATTTAAGTATGCTGAGAGAAGAAGAAAAATGGTTTTCTCTTAAAGAAAAAGGAAATAGAAGACCAGCCATAGCTCTGGAACATAACAGGCATCCCTCCTTAAAGTTGATACTAATAGCAACTTCCTCATTTCTCCCTTGTGATCCTCTTGCTTGCTTCTGGCCCTAAGACTAGAGTTGCCACAGGGGCCTCATTATATAGCAGAAAGTTTAAGGAAATTGGAGGTTTTGCATATTTACATTCTTTTGACAGGGACAGACACACATGGTATGGATTCATTAAAACTGGTAGGCTGCTTCCTGTCAGCTTTGCAGGCTGCTTAAGAACACTTTGTATTCTTTGAAGCTGCACATTATGATGAGGCCTAACCTAGTGATGAGAACACTCTTATACCATAGGTCAAAGAGCAGCCGGCCATACCCACTTCTGTGGGGATCAGGTGAACTGTGGGATTTGGGGTTTTTGGTTGATATATATTGGGTCATCGGAAAAGTCATGACATATTTTTTCTATGTTTTTCTATGCAAAAATGTGTCATGCCTTTTCCAGTGACTCAATACATGCGACATAGTTTAATAAAACTGCTTTTTTATGTTCATTGCTTTATAAAGTCACAGCCCATATATAGCCATCACTAAAATACACTGACTGCTAGTACCAAATATAGAATGCTCTGCTACTGTAAACTCTGTCTCTGAGAGATCCCAAGGTAAACTTCAGAGTGCGTCAGCCCTGACATTACCTCCTGTGAAGTACAGCACTAAGTTCTTCCTAGTTCTGTCTGGGAGGACAGGACTTCACCTAAGAGTACTGTCACTCAATCTCCAAACAGGGAACAAAGGCTTCTCTAGGCTTTGGCACTCTCTGTTCCATGAAAGGACTTCCGATTGGTGAAGGCAGAGAGGAGAGTGAGTGAGTAGTCCAAGGTGGATTGACAGTCCCAGATGGGTCAATAGACACTCTGAAATCCTACACAGGCCAGGCCCCAGAGACAGAAGTTAAGAGCTGAGGTCAGCTACATGGGTCTTCCTCAAGACACTGCAGGGGACCAGCAGTTAGTGTAATGGCTATGTCGATGGACTCCCATGTAGTCAACCGCAGTTTGAGTCCTGGACCCGGTGGCTTAAACTCACATCGGGCGCGTGTGCATGCATGCCTAAGATCCCGAGAGGAGAATGGAGGAGAAGGGATTGCGGTGTGGCCATCCCCCCTGGGGGGTGATTCTAAGTGTAACCGCTTAGAAAAGTACATGTGAGCAGACTTTAAGAGATCCTGCATCTAGAAGGGGCTAAGCAGTCGTTTATATAACTATCTTTATGAAAAATGGTCACCTCTGAGGGTTTTTTTGGCAATTATTTGAAATTAAACATGGGAATGGAACTAAATTGTTTCTCTCAACATATAACCATCCAAACTGTATGTACACATACAGGATCATGCGAAAGTCTTACAAACTAGGTGCACAGGGCCACCAGCCACCCTGCATAGTCCACTAAGGGCAAGTAAGCAACTTGTCTATTTAATTATGGGCAGAAATTATATAATGTAAAATAGAGATCCTTCCATAAAGTTTATGATTTAGGGTATACTACGAGAAGACAAAAGCAAATTCCCAAGAAATAAAAATAATTCCATATTGGTCTTGTATTCTATGAAACCCTGAGCTGAGCTGTGCTCCTCAGACACCTGTGCTTGGACCTACGCCTGCTAGGACACATCAGCATTCAGCAGCCATGTTCTGACTTCAGGTTTCTCCTCATTAAATCCACTTTGTAAAATAAAACCAATTTAATTTCTTAACTAGTAACTTTAACCAAGTCATTCCTCTATTTAAAAGTCTTCTACAGAGTCCCACTGTTTAAAGAAAAAAGAACTCTGGATTCCTCCTGGCATTCAGGACCTTTTGTAATAGGGGCCTGCCCTGCCTTTGTCATCTTGCCCCTACCCCACGTGGCTTGTGGCCTCCACTGCAGCCAAACATTTACTCTCTAAACAAAGCTCCTGCCCATTCAGATCCCTGACTTTCTTCACAGAGCTCGCTGTTCTATTCCCGTTCTACCCTACTCTTCCCATTCCTCTTCACCTATGTTCTTATCCTTTAACTCACTTTAATTCTCATGTTCTCCAAAAAATTGCTCCTCATCATACCAGGCAGAAACACTTGGCACCACTGACTCATAGGACTAAGTAGTTCCTTTTTTTTCCTTTTAGAACTTACTAATTCTTATTGTTCCAAAGGTATGTACACTGAAACTTCAATCTTCTTAATAACATGGATTGCATCTCATGCACTTTGTGTATATTCTTTTCTTTATAACAAAGGAATTTATCAATGAATTAGTCTGACAGCCACAGTAAGGAGGCAAATAAGCCGTAACATTCACTCCAACCCTCCCCGCACAAATGTGAATGACACTGAGGACACTACTATCTCTATTGTTCTGCTCTCTGATCTATGGCAATCCCGAAGGGGTATGCAGTTTTCTTTTCTTTTCTTTCTTTTTTAAGAATAATTTTCTGTTCTTTCTTCATGCCCAAATCTGGAGCCTGTGTTTGCAATGTCTTTTTGCTCAGTTGTCTTGGCAATCCTGACTTTAGCACATAACCTCAATTCTATGTAGCACAGCCAAGGGCTTGCTTGCCTGCGCATATGCTATTGTGGAAATGGAGAATAACCAACTTTAAAGACGTACTGCTGTAAGAACTAGTAAACTGCCTGGAATACTAGTCACAGTGTCAGAGAAAGAGAGAACGAAGAACTCACAAAAATTAACATCAAGTTAAAGAGCACTAAACATTTTAAAGTTGAACAGGATACCTGAAAATAATACTCACTTAAGCTACAAAATAATCTAAATTGTACAACTTACTCACATATACAATTAATTTGAAACCTACTCCAGCGACTTTGCTGCACATAATTAATACCTTAAAATAGGAAAGAGAATCAAACATTTCTTCGATTTGCTCTGAAGATTGAACAGATGATGATATTGGGTGAGATGAATTCAAGGAATCTTTTTTCATGGTTTTAAATCGAGCATCTAAGAAATCTTCATACTAGCAAAAAAATGAACAGATTAAGATATCATGAACAGTATCAATGGTAAGTATTATAACTATATAGATGAGATTCACTACTGGTCAAGGTCAATATAAAAAAAAAATCACCACTTTAACTAAACTTCAGAATATAAGCTTTTAAAAATATGGGAAGGCTAAGACTCCCATGCATATCCCTTAGATTTAAGAATACAATTATAAACTGTCATATGAAAATCAGCATTTTCTTTCTTTCTTTTTTTTTTTTTTGTGGGGGGAGGTTTTTGCTATAGGGCATGTGTGCTCGCCAGACAGACAGACAGACACCGAGAGACAGAAAGCGAGAAATCATCCCCCGGAGGGGATGGTCACACCACAATCCCTTCTCCTCCATTCTCCTCTCAGGATCTTGGACACGCACATGCGCCCGGTGTGAGTTTAAGCCACTGGGTCCGGGACGCGAACCGTGGTCAACTACGTGGGAGTCCAGCAACATATCCATTACGCTAACTGCTGGTCCCGAAAATCAGCATTTTCTACACAGTGGTGTTAGGATGAACTAAGAATCTATTATAAAAGCGAACAAATGCCAAATCTGAATATCTAAGATGATTCCTCTAATAAGATCAGTGTAAATATTAAAAACAAAATCTGAAATTAAAGAATAAAAATTGGCCTTTTAATCTGATTTCTCATATACACTCTAGTTTTTCTATTAAGAAAATGTACCTTTCCCTTGAGGTTTATTGAATTCTTTGAAAACTCAGCAGATGAGCTCTTCTAGAACACATATTAGAAGCTTTTGAACATTCTGGGCACCACCAAGTGGTGAAACTGTATATCTCATTGCTTAATTAAGCAGTATATACAGATTTAGAACACCTTAGATGGTGTTTTACTTAAAAATTAATTCCTCCTACTACTTGAAACTTTTGAATAAGTCCTACGCAAAAATTTCAAATTAAAAGCTCTAAGAGTATTTCTGTTTTAAAACAGTCTTGGATTGCATCTCTAAGAAGTTTAATAAAGGCACAGAATTTTAAGGTTAAAAGAGATCTTCTTTACATTTACCTACCTATTTTTGATTTTTTTTTTTGCAGTCTGTCATATCATGATCTAGTATGTCTGATTATCCCTAAGTACAAGAAATATTTCCAGAGAGTCTAGTAACATGGTGACAACAGTATTACACCTTTCTATAATAGAATGCTATTCTAAGTCTTTAGAAAAAGGCACAAAATGTGATTTATGTCTACACGAGTAAATTATCCACTAGCATCAGCTCATAGATATCACTATCCAGGAATGTACAGTGATAACAGACAGACAGCTCTATCATAAAAGGTTTTAATTTTTTCTGTTTCTATATAAGATATAAAAGTTGTATCTGTCAGAAAAGTTTTTCAACCTTATTTAAATCCCTTCAAATAGAAGGGCCACATTTGGTAAGAAAATAAAATATAGTAAAGCAATTTAAAATGTTCATTTTAACAACAAAAATATAAAATAATCTTACATAAATCCATCTTTCAATGAAAGACATTCATAAATAAAAGCGTAATTTTCATTGTCCAGTTTTGAAAAGCATAAACATTAGCAACAAAGGTCAATTTCATTGTACCTAAAACCTTTTTTTTTTTTGGAGAGATTTTTGCTATATGGTACATGTGCTCACCAAAGAGAGAGAGACTCAGAAAGCAAAAATCACCCCCAGGGGGGGATGGCCACACTGCAATCCCTTCTCCTCCATCCTCTCTTGGGATTTTGGGCACACATGCACCTGGCGTGTGTTTCAAACCTCTGGATCTGAGACTCAAACCACAGTCAGCCACATGGGAGTCCAGTGCCCCAACCACCATACCATCTGCTGGCCCCAACATTTTCATTATTTGAAATGCATAGACAATAATCACAAATACAATTTGACTATTTTTTCTACTAGCATTCGTAGCAGGCCAAGAAACACTATACTTACACTGGAGAGCTCTTTGAATATTTTTTCCAAAGAGAAATATTCCATGAAGGTGGCAAAACCTTCATTTAGCCATAGATCATTCCACCACTGCATTGTTACCAGGTTACCAAACCACTGTGAGAAAAACAAACTGTTTACCAACATGATACTTATGTTGTGGGGAATCTTCTAATAACCGACCAAACTGTCATATTAATTACCCATATCTAGATTATAATATCTTTAAAATATGCTGATGTTAATCAGCATATTCAGACTCAGAATAACTTGCTTAGTCTTTAAACTATAAGCAAATTAATTTAAGACTTAGAAAAGTTGCACAAATTTACTTTACATGTAAAATAAAATTTTTACCTTAATTGATTAGGAAAATAAACAAGAAAGTTTTTTAGTATATGTACATGTTTATCAATGGATTTATCATTAAATTTGCCATATAAAAAGCGACAGAGAAAAATGAAAACATTTTTCAGTCACACCATAAAGTGAGATTTCCTAGAGAATGAAATTCTCCTACATTCTAACAGTATTTTCTATTGTACCTGCAATAATTCATGATGACTAGAAAGTAAGTGTCCATGTGAGAAGCTTTCCTACAGTCAGAGAGGAGCTCATCTTAATATCCTCCCCAGTGGCCCAAGGTAAGCAGTATCCCATGATTCAGATCAGAATGAAAACAGCGTGCTTTAAGAAAGTTGGCATACATATAAGCAAATGAAATCAGAAAGATATTTAAGTGTTTTCTTCTACAAGGTAGGAAGAAGAAGGGAAAAAAGAATAAGAGACTCTCCTAAAAAAAGAATATTGCAAAAATCCTTGAAATGACAAGGCTGTGAGGTATACAATTTAGCCACTGTGGCCTAGGGCTTATCTCAATTCAACAGCAGGATGGAGTTACTAGATACTAAAACAAGCATTCTGAGGATTACAAAGTATATTTTTCTAAGATAGTATCTTGAATTTTTTTCCAGAAGAAAATGATTTCTAACTCCTAAAGAAGAAACAAAGAATACTCGCCAAGTGGTGATGGCTGGCCCCAGAAATAACAGACCTAGTGAGATTCCCCCAAAGGGCAACCTACTTACATAATCCATTTATAACAGTAAGTAAGTGTGTGTTTCTGTTGCCATCTTGTCATGAAGTCTTCACAAGGGCTCTAGATACATATATAGATTGTGACTAAGAGAGAGAATCAACTGACCAGAGTATTTCCCTGTCTTCCGTCATGTCCTGCCACTGGTCACAACATCCCCAAAACCATAAACGGCACTGAGAAGCACTCGCCCAAGGCACAACAGAAAAGGGTGCTGGGGAAGAGTCTATGTTACATACCCACATGATTTCTTTTTCTCATGTCATACAAAGAGTTGCCTCACTCTTTTCTCAAGCCTTCCTGTCAAATTACTAGAGAACCCAGTTCCAGAAGGAAATGAAAAAGTAAGCCCAGTCCTGACAAGAGGGTTCAGAATTGTCAGAGAGAGCATCTTAGGGAAAAGGGTGCTTCTCCACAAACTTATACTGAGCAGCAGGCACTGGTCAGAGGGAAACAGCTGTGTATTATCAGCAGGGGTAAAGCTCCCAAAGAGACAGTTGCTCTTTCAGACCCAGTGCTGTCACTTGTCTCTGTGTGACTTTGGGCAAGTCATTTATTTAAGCTGAGTTCCCATTCCCACATCTGAAAAATGTGAGCAACTGTGAAGTACGCTGAGACGAAAGATGTGAAAATGCTTTAAACTGAAGTCTTATACAAACATTAGATGGCATTTTCATCAGAAAACTAAGTTTGTGTTTAAAAAGAGTATTTTTTTATTATGAAAGGAGGCAGTAATTATTACTATCCAAATGTATTCTAAAACTCCAGAACATGTGAGATGTCACAGCCTTAGCTGGTAATACCTGATGGGCCAGCTCGTGAGCGATGATTTTAGTAACCAGTTTTCTATCTGCCACTGAAGAGGTATTATCGTCATACAGAAGCGTCTCTTCTCGGAAGGTGAGCAAACCCCAATTTTCCATTGCTCCTGCTTCAAAGTCGGGGATAGCCACCAAATCTGGATATAACGAAAAGAAGTGATCAACTTTCTCTCATGTAAAACATTCCCTAATTAAATCAGAAATTGCCCATTGCTTTATCACAGTGGAGATAATGAGTTCTTTTTAGCTTCCTCACAAATAGGACCTACCTTCCTTATCCTAGCTCTGCATGTTTTTCACCACCCCGTCAACTACCTGGTCAGACCCCTTTAGAGACACTGTCCCACTGCCTCTCCATGAGCAGACAGACAGCTAATTTCTTCACAATTAATCAACTGTCTAGGACAAGGAGGACAAAGTCAGGGCCAATAATCTTTTGTCTAGCATGAGCTCCACCTTGAAGAATATAGAAATCCTCTTGCTTTCCAGATTACTCAGTTTGTACATCATTTGAATCAGGAATTTCTTGGAAGTCAGAATTACTGAATCTCTAGACTAAGTCCTAAACAAATTTATACTTATAGGAAACCTTTTTTTTTTTTTTTTGGAGAGGTTTTTGCTATAGGGCGTGTGTACTCACCAGACAGACAGAGACAGAGAGACAGAAGCGAGAAATCACCCCCCGGGGGGATGGCCACGCCGCAATCCCTTCTCCTCCATTCTCCTCTCGGGATCTTGGGCATGCACACGCGCCCAGCGTGAGTTTTAAGCCACTGGGTCCAGGACGTGAACCGCAGTCGACTACATGGGAGTCCAGCGACATAGCCACTATGCTAACTGCTAGTCCCATAGAAACCTTTTTAACAGTCCTATAAACGTTTAAATTTTTTAAGCTCCAAATTCAGATACAGTCATGGAATACAAATAATCCTAATAATTATAAATAATTTTAGAGCATTAAAAATGTTTCAATGTTTCTTGGTTTTCTTTTACAATAACTTGGGCAGGCTATTGTTTGTTTCTATTAAAAAAAAAGAAGCAGTTACAAAATGAATCGAGGCTATAACTGTAAGAAAACCCAGAGGAACTGTTTGGTTCTTACCCAGTTTCTTAAGTGGGTATTGAATCTCAAAGTAGTTTTGATAAAACTCAAGAAGTTTGACAGCTGTTCCCAAGGCATGGTGAACCTGGCCAATCTTTTCTGGTACAGCATATATGGAAACCTAAAGGGAGACATGACGCATGGTGTGAGAACAGGTCCGATTACAGCGTGGGGGCACCTGGGGGAGCACCATTAAGACGAGCCTGTCTGAGAACTACACAGAGTTGTATGAGAACTTTCAGCACAGAAACCTTTCCTCTAGTTCTTTTACCTCCTATAGAACATAGCAAAATGTTCAAAAAACTTACTGATTACTTTTTATTCATTGCCAGACGGCGTGCATGCTGGCCGGAGAGGGAAGGATGGAGAATCCCCCCACAGGCACACTCATGCTGTAATCCTATCTCCTCTATTTCTCCAGCCAGTCAGGATTTGAGGCATACACATCTGTGCACACACACACACAAAGACACACGCACACGTGAATAGCCACTGGGGCCAGGATTCAAACCGTCGTCAGCAACATGGGTTCCAGCCTTCTACACACAGCACTTAAATTTTGCACTAAAAGGCCAACCCCTGATTACTATTTTTGAACTCAGTACAACATCCAGAATAAATTACTCTGGGTCATCTTGCAGCAATGTGTAAGTATTTACCCTTTTACTTTCATGGTACTCTTCTCTTCCTCTCCCATTCCCTATAGCTGCCCTTCCTTACTTGTGAGCTAAGAAGATGATAAGTTATTTGCCGGACAGACTGAATTTTCCTTTTTTCAGCACTCACCCAGCACCTGACAACTAGCAGGCATTCAAGACACATGAGGCACACCTTATGATGGAGATGGTTCTCAAGTTAACACATAAGGCAGAAATTACAGTTGTTGACATTACCCTGGAAAAACCCATTAGGTCAACATACTGTCCTCTCTTGGTAACAATGACATGGTCAGTTTTTCTTCCAGCATGAGAGACAGCTTACCATTTTTTTTTCTGTTGTTTCTAGAACCAAATTGTATATAAAAATGGGCATACAGTGAAACATGAATACTCAGAGTGGTACATAGCAACTAACACCAACTGAGGATGACACACTTATGCCTCCCAATGCCCGTTCAACCCAAGGCACATGCTAAGAGAGAAAGCAGGTGGAATTATCACATTATCTAGATTGCTATTCTTTCTTTTTTTTTTGGGGGGGACCTTTAAACACATATGATGTGACTGATGTGACTAACCTTCTTAACTATCCAAAGGCCAAACTTCAGCAATTATATTTAAAGGAATGGTTTTTTAAAAAAGCAACATTTATTGTTTTTCAAATGATTAAACAAAGCCCTCTATACTACCCTGAGAAAATAGACTATGAATAAAACATGCAGAAAATAAAAATCTCAAAATGAAGATATCAACAAGTAGAAAATAGAAACTTGTTCAACGATTCATCATTTGGAAAAAGCACATTGGTGAACTCTAACTCCAAAATAATTTCAGCTTCCCATTAAAGAATTTTAAAATTGCTAATAATTTGATTTCAAAAATCTAATGTATAGGTTTCAACCCAAGTGTCTTTATGTGAGGCTTCCATCTACACAACACATGCATCAGCCACAGAAACATGGAGGTACCCTGCATAAACATTCAATGCACAGAGGACAAATTTTCTTTTTTTTCTACTGAGAGAGAGAGAGAGAGACACCTCCTTGATAGGGTCTCATCACACCGCAAATCCCTTTTCCTACCTCCAGCTAGCCAGGATCATGGGTGCATCTTGGGTGCACAGGATTTAAACCCAGGGCCTTCCCTACGCTTCCGGTATCATACAGTGGAGCCCTACTGCCTGAGCCACCACAGCTAGGACTGAAAAGAAATGTAAGTAAACGAACAAAAATTTAAATGTACAGGCTCTGTAGTTAAAATGCTGGATGGGACCAGCCCTTGGCGTAATGGCTATGTCACTGGACTCCCACATAGTCGACCGTGGTTTGATTCTCGGACCCGGTGGCTTAAACTCACACCGGGCGCGTTTGCATGCATGCCCAAGATCCTGAGAGAAGAATGGAGGAGAAGGGACTGTGGCGTGGCCATTGCCCATGGGGGGTTATTTCTTGCTTTCTATCTCTCTTCCTCTCTCTGTCTGGCGAGCGCATGCGCCCTAAAGCAAAAAACTCTCCAAAAGAGAAAAAAAATGCTGGAGCTCATTTCTCTACTCTTTGTATGAGTGTGAGAAAGTCATTAGTGAACTGTGGTTTCTTTATCTGTGAAATGATAAAAGTGACTCCTGGAGCTGGTTGGCAGCACAGGCGTAAAACATGACACTCTGTGAGACCGACCCACGAGGGGTGGCTCCTGGTTTGGGTCGAAAGCTCGCTGACTGTGCTGGGCACAGGGCCTGTTACCAGGGCTGAGAAGGCTGGGGATGCCCTGCTAGGCCAAGACCCTGTGTTTCAGGTGCTGTCTGTCTCTCTTTTCCTCACTATCTTCCCCTCCCTTTCTTGCTCATGGAATAAAGAAAGAAAGAAATTGAAAAAAAGGGGGGAGCATCAGATACTAAATATCAAAAATAAAAAAGTGGCCCTTAAGTATCCAATAAATGCTAGTTATTACAGTTATTACAAATAGGATTCCCACAGAACTGGAGCAAAATGTGACCAGAACATCTGTGGCAATAGTTGCTGGAAGAATTGGAGTTAGCCAATTTAAGATCCGTTGCTTTCTTAAGTGACTGTGGGAGACACTGACTCTCCCGTCAGTGGCCAAGTGAACCGCACCAGCCTGGCCGTCCCTCGTACGGGGCTCGACCACAGCAGGTGGAATTCAGTTACCACCTGCCCAGGAAGCTACAAGCTAATCCTGTTGTGTGTACTTCCTGCATCTTTCCCCACAGAAGGCAGTTTTAGCCCTTAAAAAAAAATGTTTGACATATTCTTTTAAAATCAGTAACTATCGTGACTGTACTGCTGGCCCTGCATATCTACAAGTTCAGCACCTGCAGATTCAACCAACCATGGACTGAAAATGTTCCACTGTTGCTGATGCATACTAATTACCTGGCGCATGATGGCTGCTTCTGTGCTAAACCTGTACAGACATTTTCGTCATCATTCCCTAAGCAATATAGAATAATGACTATTTATGTAGCATTTATATTATATTGATTATTATCAGTAATCTGAAGGTGATTTAAAGGACACAGCAGGTATATGTATGTTATATGCAAAAACTATATCATTTTATACAAAGTACAAGGAGCTTGAACATTTGAGGAGTCTGGCAGCCACTGGGGTCCTAGAATTAACATCCTCCACCCCACCCCTGGTAGAAATTGAGGAACAAACTGTACTAAGATCACTTGGAATTTAAGACAAATCTTTATCATCTCTTCTTATTCTTCCCAGGCACATGCATTTTTCTTAGAGTTTGCACAATCACCTAGAAGATGTTAGCCCCCGGATTCCTCCTCCAACATCTTCCTGCCACCTACAACATCTGGCCACTTCCATCACTGAGTGTGAAAGTACCTTTCCTTAGAAGACAAGCCAGGGGAGGAGAAATTAAATCACATAAGGCTGAAATCTGACCAAAGGATCCACTTATTCCTATTTCTAGAATACACTGATTAAGGGAAAATGTATTTTAGTATTTTTTTCTACTTCTGTTTCTTTCCCTTTTTTCATTTCTTTTTCTTTTCCTTAGAAGAACATGTAGTATGAGTTCTTACTAGAGATAAACCATCAGATTATTAAAATTATTATCAAGGTTGATCTAAGAACAACAAAAACAGTAAGAAATAAAGAGAGTAATCTAGCTTAGCAAAAACATCTTGAGGAGCATTCTGCATTTGGTAACAGTATTCTGAACATTGTTAAATGAAAGTTGATTGGCACTCAGGGCTTAAGACATACAACTTAAACATTTTCTTGCCAGATCTCTCTTTTTTTGGGGGGGGGAGATTTTCACTATAGGGCACGTGCACTCGCAAGACAAACAGAGAGAGACATAGAGACAGAAAGCGAGAAATCACCCTCCAGGGGGGATGGTCACACCGCAATCCCTTCTCCTCCATTCTCCTCTCGGGATCTTGGGCACGCATGCACACACACCCGGCGTGAGTTTTAAACCACCCGATCTGGGACACGAACTGCGGTCGACTACATGGGAGTCCAGCGACATAGCCATTACGCTAACTGCTGGTTCCCTTGCCAGATCTCTTGTAAAGACTTAATGGGAGATTTCTAGAAAAACACAACTATAAAGATCCCTGGTCAGCTCTTAGTTTAAAAAAAAAAAAAGTTAGAATGCTAAAGAATAATAGATTAGGCTTTTTTTTTTTTTTTTCAATTTGCTATAGGGTGCTTGAACATACCAGAGACAGATGGGCAGAGAGCCACAGAGAGAGAGAGAGGAAAAAAAACACCCCCAAGAGGGATGACCATGCTGTAATCCCTTCTCTTCCACCCTTCTCTGAAAGATTTTTGGCATGCATGCACATGTGCCTCACATGGCTTTCAAGTTGCCAGGTTTGGGACTAGAACTGTGCAGTTGACCACATGGCTCTAGCTATTCCAAACACCACGCCACTGGGTGGCCTGATGATTTTGGTTTTACTGATATGCTCCTTAATTTAATAAAAACAAAATTAGTTAACAAAAGCAAAAACAGAACCAAAACTAATCTACCCTCCAAAAAAGCGATAGTAACATCGCCTATGAGATTTATAAAGACAGAAAATATTGGAACCTTTGCTACTAAATTTCCTAATGAACACCAACCTCCCTAAATAGATAATTAGACACATAAGCATAAATTATTAAAAACAAACAAAAAACAATAACAACTACAAACAACAAAAATCATCAAGTATATCCAGATTTAAACTGGTCTTTACATTCTTTTGAAAGGATTCTGAAAAAAACTTTCGGTTAGACATAACATTTAGTCTTCTAATCCAAAGGTCAGTAAATGGTATTGAACACTATTTTAAGCAGCCTATCCTTTCCCTTTAACACTTAGTTAGCTCTTTGAGCAGCATGTCATCCTCTGGGCAGTGCATTAAGGCAGGCGATGTCATTGCTAATGTACAGCCAGAGAATCCTTATCTCTGTCCTTATCATTGAGAGGTCTGAGGTAGACAAGATCATCTTTTCTAATGAAAAAAGTATACCATTTTGACCTATTAAAATAAGATCCAAGTATGTTATTAAAATAAAGTTCCGGGACCAGCAGTTAGCGTAATGGCTATGTCGCTGGACTCCCATGTAGTCAACCATGGTTCGAGTCCCGGACCTGGTGGCTTAAACTCACACAGGGCATGTGTGCATGCGTGTCCAAGATCCCGAGAGGAGAATGGAAGAGAAGGGATTGTGGTGTGGCCATCCCCCCTGGGGGGTGATTTCTCGCTTTATATCTCTCTGTCTCTCTCTGTCTTTCTGGTGAGCGCACACGCCCAATAAGAAAAACCTCTCCAAAAAAAAGAAAAAAATAAATAAAGTTCCTTAGTCTAGAAAGAAAACCTCAAACTAGCAGGATGTATTCAAAGGTTAGACAATATTCTTTGATGAAGACCAAAACCATGAAAACAAAAATTAAGGAATTCCTTCCTATGTCTATCATAAACAATAATTGTTTTTAGCTTTAAATGGCCTTTCTCCTTGTATAATGTCAATATGTGAAAATATTAGCTTTATTAGGTCTCTACTGGTAAAGGATAAAATTCAATCAAATCATCGTTTACGGGGACCAGATGGTGGCAGAGCAGTAAAACCTGATGCTCTGTGAGGCTGCCTGAGATTCAAAGTTCCAGTCTTGTATCTGGAGATGTCCCTGAGTATGCCAGGCATGTGTTTGTTCATGGTCTAGGACTGGCTGGGGGTGGGTCACAGTGTCAGGGACCCTTTTGGGGTACTGTCTGTCTATTTTTCATTTATGGGAAAGAGAAATAAATAAACTTTGAAAAATAATAATTATCTCTTACAGACAAGTAGCAATGACAAAGGAAAACAGAGGACCCTAAATAGAACAAATGAGAAATTTTGGCAAAATGAAGATAAACCAGACCCTTAACTTAAACCATCTTATTCATTACTCTAAGATGAATAAACTCAGTAGAGAGCTACCTTAAGAATAGGAGCTACCTTAAGAATAATTTTTACAACCTTGAGTTATCCCATGTGGTAGCCACTACATGCTTGAATACCACTGAACATGAAATGGGTTTAGTTACCAAAACTGAGAAAGTAAATTTTAAACTTCATTTGAATTCATTTAAGTCTAAATAGTCACATAGGCTAGTGGCCACTATATTACGCAGCACAGTTCTAGAAGGTTTAGTATACACATTTTGTCTTACTAGAATTCTCCTGTGAAAGTAAAATGAAAAGAAACTCTAGAATTATCCATTTTCATGTATTAATTAGTCACAGTAAATGCCAGCTAAGCAAAAAACTAGTATTTCTGGTATAAAATGTTACTGGGATCTAAAAAAAGCTTGTTTTCTTCCTAAGACAACCACCAGGAATTACTAAACTGAAAATGTTCCTAACCTCTCAGGAAACAGGCTTCGGCTGATGACATCAACCTACCAGGGTCCCGTTTACGTCCTGACTCAGGTTCTTCAGCTCCCCCACAATGAATGCAACCAGGTACGTGCTCATCTTCACGCTCTCAGAAAACTCGTCCTGAACAAGTCCATCTTCCAGAATGACTGAGGACTTCTATGAGCAAAGGGGAAAGATGACAATTCCATAACTGTAGAAATAGATGACAATGACTAATGAACCGAGAAACTGAAAATCCAAACAGGAAGTACGTGGTGAAGATGCTGACGTACTTTGACCTCCCAGCACAGGTTTGTGGAGACAGTGCAGCTTCAGCCGCAGTCTGTTCTACCGCCCTCATCAGGAGGACATACTGAGCACAGTGATTCAGGAAGGCGATTTTATGCCAAAGATGGTTTTAATGTTAGAGGTGGGAATAGTAGGTCTGCTTCTCTCCTGTAAAACACCACCAAAACTAAAATCCTTCCCTAGGACCTGGCAGTGTTCCATTCCATTACTGTGAGTACATCCATGGGAGAAGCTGCAGTTGGGATATCTCTTCAGAGGATCTGAACTGACTTCATGGAGTACCACATTGTGGACCCCCCTTCTCCCCCAAAGAAGGCTCATTGAGATCCAAGCACAAATCACTGGAGAACTGTGCAGCAGACACATAATGCAGGAATGTGGGCAACTCTGCAGTATTTTCCAACCATGAACTAAGATATGTTTTAGGATACTGGCCATGCAGGCGTCTACCTGTTTTCTAGAAAGGTTAAGCAGAAGAGTACGGCTGGAGAGGAGCTACTGGAATGCTCTCCTGTATGAGGACAGATAATGTTCTCTGCTGCCTACAGGGAGGAGCTGACTCCAAACCTGCCGTATGGCTTCTCCTCTCAAGGGTCACGTGGGTTTCAGGAGGCTCCCATCAGGCTGCACATAGCCCCTTGGGTGTTCGAGACATGAAAAGAATGGAGGACTAGGTTTTGTTTCACATAGACATTTTTGCTTGGTTTTAGCCTCACTGCCTCCTACACAGAGCTAACACCTAAGAAAGAGGTTCATGATTGTCATCAAGCTCCAAATGACATCAATATTGATTTTTCATTTACCAATAAAATACCAAGGATAATGATTTAACACTATTTTCTTTTCTTTTCTTTTCTTTTTTTTTTAAGAGAGATTTTTGCTGTAAGACGTGTGCACTCGCCAGAGAGAGAGAAAGAGAGAAATGATCCTCCAGAAGGGATGGTCCCGATTTAACACTATTAAACAACACTGTTTAGAACACTGTAGCAAATTCAGCATGTCTCAGAAAATATCTGATCTGGTACTACAATAGCTCATAGTATCGACATGTGTACAACTTCAGTACACAGCACACACTTCACATTTTCCACGCACACATTCCAAGCCCAGCAGGTCTTTCTCTTTCCTCCAGGACTCCTCAGGGTGACTTGGTGAGCCATCCCAACATACAGGTTAAGTATTTTAAGAAAGAATATTTTTTTATTGTATATGACTTTAATCCTTTTCAACAGTAGCCTGGTCAGAAGAAATTCAAGTGTTCTTAAAGAAAAGCAACCCACTGAAAGGTTTTACGTCGAAGGAACAGAACAGTACCTTAGGCATATTTGATAAAGCGGTGTATTGCTCATCCCTTAAGATCTTGATGATAAACGTGGCTTTAAACGCTGGTTCATCGAAACAAGGAAAAGCAGATCTTGCTGCCAGGGGTTCAAACTGAGTTGCTGCAAAGTACCTGAAACAAATGCAAATTCAATCCAGCAGTTATTGAGCACCCACTATACCAGGAATATTAAGATAAATACGGAACAATCTCTGTCACTAAAGGACCCACAGCCAACTGAGAGAGGCAGAAATGTATATGATGGACAGAAACTTAGGTCAGGCTGTCAATCATGTCCTAAGAGTGAAAACAAGGCAGCGAGAGCAAAGTGTAGGAGACAAATTCTGACTAGAGGATAAAGACACTGTGCAAAAACTGGTACAAAATCTGAAGAGAGCCTGAAAAG